AGGTTCCTAAACCGAGGATTGCGAATAAATATAAAGGTTGAAAAGCGGAGGAAATGGTACGCGTGGATGGATTGGTGGTGATAAAAATCTTGCTCTCTCTACTCTCTACTGATTCTGGTTCCCGAACCGAAGATGGCGTCGTACGCAGCCCCCGAATCCTGTGAAAGGTGTGAAATAGCCAAACTCTCGAGCCAAAGGATATTTAATAACTATTTAACATCTAATAACCACAATATCAACTATTTATCTGATAGCTGATGTGCAAATTCTACTCCTTCGAGACTATTTTTCACTAAACGCTCCTTTTTCTTACTGTTCTCTTCATTTATTTATTTTTACACAATTAATAAAGGTATGGAAGCATTATAACATTCAAACATTCGCATTTAATTGAGGTCACTTTGTAATAGGTGCGCAATAACTCGATGCGCGTTCCTAAACTTCCACAACATACTAACCTTTTTTCCTAGAACATACTAACCTTCTGCTACTTCCTTGAGCGTTCTTAGAATGAAGTTTCCCTCCACTTTGTTAGAGTGCTTTCCCTTGGCAAAAATCCACACACTCCCCAAATCCCGGTTCACCTAATCTAAAAACACAACCACGGATATCAATTTAACACTGTCTTGGAAGCGTAAAATGGCAAAACAAACTGTTCGTTGGGGAGACTCTCCCCTTCTCAACCCTGGGCGCTATGCATACCGCCCTATATTTAGCAGGATACTTCAATACGTCCCGTTTATCGAATGTACATAATGTTCTGCAAAATCTCTCAAAATATGTACAAAAAGGTAGGATAAATGAATAGCAAGCAGAGGGCTTTCTCACACAAACTCAACAAGTTAATTGTAACGGGAAACGACGCATGATACAAAAGAACCGAGGCTAGAAAGACACATAGTACAAAAACAGCACCGATTAGGTTCGTGTACTTGTCAGCCTTTTAGAAAACTTGCAATTTGAGCAACAAATCTATTCCATGCAGCCTCGTCCATCACCATTGCATAAAATCTGAAAGTTTTGTAGTGTAAATCGAGGTTATTCTGGGCGGGTGATTCAGTAACAGTAGTCCTATCCTTACTATATCCTATAAAGCGCTCGCTTCGTCTCGTGTGTGTCTGTCTGCCTGTGGGGAACGCCCGTACTGCGCGACCGTCGTCGGAAGTAGGTCACCCCGCCCATTTCGCGCTCGGCGCAGGCGCAATAACGGAGTATTAATTTTTGATCTTAGCAAAGCCTCTCCAATGCAAAACTCGCCCACTTAGAGAATTTGGCCTCATTTGTTCAATTACCTCTAACCACTTTTCCCTCGTCCTAGGACTTTTCTGACTAGAGTTGTAATCTTCTGAATCCATGCGGGAAGTACCGCCCACTGCGATAACGCTTCGTCCACCGCCGGCGAGTCCCCTTCATTTTCATTGTTGACCCATCCCTCACCTTTGTTCGCTTTTTCCCGTCGTCTAGAGGGTATGCCCGACTTCCTTTGTGTAACCGACTTGTAAGCTACTGGCTGATCGGCAAGAAGTGAGCGCTTTAAAGCACTTCTCTAGATCAGAAGCAAAAAGATAAGCAGACTCCGGCCTTGCCTGTACGATAGTAAGAAAGGCGACGGACGGCAAGCCCAAGACCACTATGAAAGGAGCTATACGAAATAACAAAAAATACAAATCAAACAGTGAAAATAAGAAGAGAAAGCAACTTATAGGGAGACACAGAAAGAAGTTGGTCTCAAACGCACGGATTCCCAAGAGATAACGGCGACATAGATGACCAGTCGAGAGACTCCAGAATACATGACGATACATGACGTAGGAAAAATGTGAAAAGTACATCCTACAGATTGTCGTCGTCATTTCGCCCGATTGGTATCACTACTCCTACCATTAAGGTGCTAGAAAAGATTATACGTGACAAACAGAACTTCTTTTGACTAGGAACAACCTTATTACCCTTGAACAACGTGGTTTCCTAATGAATGCTTCCATGCACGCACGCCGATGGCTGACTGTACATACGAGTGGATTTGGCTATTAACAAAGACCAAGGTGTGAACGTGATCTATTTTGACTTATCTAAAGTATTTGATAAAGTTAGTCACGATAAACTTCTCGTCAAGGTTCGAGAGCTAGGTGTCACTCTAACACTTTTTGAGGGGATGCGGTCCTATGCGAGTCTCAGATACGTGTGCGTGAGAGTCGAAAATTCGTTTTCGAGGCAATACCCATGCACCAGCGGCGTACCGCAGGGTGGTGATTTGTTACCTTTTGTTCTTGATATATACCTATGATTTGCCTTATCTTTTGACTACGCATCCAGAAGTGAAGGTTCGCTTGTATACGGACGACATAAATATGTGCGCCGTTTATACAGAAAACACGACCGCATTCAAGCTTTAACCCAGCCCATTAATAACATGATGGAGTGGGCTAACGCCTGGGAAATACCCGTGAGCTTGTCAAAAACATCTATACTTCTTATGGGGAGAGCCATCATGGTATCATATACATACAAAGATGTAGTTCTAAGGCCTCCAAAGTAGCTCGTGACCTCGGCTTCTATGTGAACTCGGGGCTGAATTCTGATCATCACATTAGTTTAATTGTACAAAAGGCGTTTGGTGTTCTTTTGCAGTTTTCCGGAACATCCAGTAAAACGATGCATCAGTTTTGATGAGATTTGCAAGGCTTATGCAGTCCCACTTCTGGAATATAGGTCACAGATCTGAAGCCTCTACACAAAGAAGCTCCAAGTAAAAATAGAGAAAGTCCAGCAAACATTCAGAAAAATTTTGATGTGTCGATGCTATCCAAATCCCGACTACCCTATTGTTATGCCCGGTTACAGGGAGCCCTTGTATCATTCTAAACTCGAATCGCTTCTTTATCAACGCATTTTTAACTGTTTCAAGCTTTTGAAGGGTGAACTGAAGTTGAAGCCTGGCACTTACTGGATTCTCAGGCCTGGTCGAGGGCGCAGACCTTGGTCTTTATTAACAGCCAAATTCTACTCGAATGTGCAGTCAGGCATCGGCGTGCATATGGAAGCACCCATAGGAAACCATGTTGTTCAAGGGGTTCAAGGTTGTTCCTAGTCAAATGAAGTTCAAGTTCGTCACGTATAACCTTTTCCAGCACCTTTATGGTAGAAGTAGTGATAGCAATCGGGCGAAATGACGACAATAGTCTGTAGGATATATTAGGTTGAGTCATAAGTCCTCGGACAATGTGACAGTTATGGCTTCTACAGATCATAACTCGGGAAAGAGGTGACGAAAATGGACGCGCGAGGCATCGTTAGATAGAGTATAAAATGCTCTTCCAAATACATACTAAGCAGTACACCTGACTATTTTCTGCGCTTAAGCGTGAGGAGAGAAAGTGACATGTCAGCGCGAAAATACATGACATACTGATTCAAAGCATGAGGCACCCATCGACCGAGCTTTCGCACCTTGCCGACTGACTTCAATCCACGAATGATAGTGGACTGACTCCCCAAGGGTGACTGCCAGTTCACGAGTAGTTTGATACGGATCGCCTTCCACCTGGCTCCGCAGCACCTCCAAATCCAACTCCATTGATCGTCCCGGACGCTCTTCATTTTCGATGTAATGGTCGTCCGACGAGAACTTCGTGTGCTACTTGTGATTGTGCTTTTAGCAGGAGCACCCTTCTTGTAAACTTCCTTAATACGTCTGTCGATTACCAGTTCTTGGTCAGATAAAAAAAGAAATAGGATGGTGTTGCGGAGGTGAAGTTGCGGAGGTGTTGGAAAGAAAACAGATGTGTTCGTTAGCATGTGTGTTTGAAGAACTTTTCGTTCTCTATCTAACAATGTCACGCGCGTACATTTTCGTCCTCTTTTCCGAGTTATGATCTCTAGAAGTCATCGCTTCATAGTGATCTTGAACTTGCTGACCGTCGCCACTGTTACTATCGTACAGGCAAGGCCCAGGTTTGCTTACCTTGATGCTTCTGATCTAGCGAAATGCGTTCAACCGCTCACTTCCTGCCGATCAGCCAGTAGGTTACAAGTCAGTTCTACGAGGGAAGTCGGGCCTACCCGAGTGCCGAAGTCGCGGCTATATCCCATGACTCCTCACGAGATGAGGGCACTATGACCAACTGCTACGGTTACCGGTTATAAGAACCTCTTGGTTGTACCCTTTAACAATGCAGCTTGTGGACATTAGTATGCGCAAGTGATTTTTTCTTCTTTCGCTTTTCTAATCTCACTTTGTACATTGGCATCGGGTGGTTTATTTTCTAGATGTGGCGCACTCAGTGGAGTGTAGAAACAGATGAATTAATATTTCGCAATACAATGAAGCCGCGACCCGCAATCAAACTATGACACGGAAGAAAGTACGAAGGAGTAAGCAAGTAGAGTTAAATAAAGGGGAATGAATAAAAGAGCAGAGCCGGATGTGAGGCAAACGAGAAGCCCCATCAGAATCCGAATGAAAGATGTAGGTTAGAAAAAAGAAATGGAAGATGCGAGGAATAACAATAACGGAGTATGCATAACAGTATTAATGTTACGCAGTAGTGACGGATTGTCAGAAAGTGAAACAGCTGAGGAGTGTGGCTGCTTTCATACTTCGACGTGCGTGCCGGCACGCAGGTTGAAACGGACGTACATTTAGGGAGCGGCGTGCGAGCGGCTATGCGACGGCGGCCCTATCCAAGCGTGTGACAGCAGTGGGTACCGAACATACCGCAAATCGAGGATGGCTGCTGTCACAAGCTTGGATGGAGCCGCCGTCGCATAGCCGCTCGCAGTTCGCCCCCTAAATGTACGTCCGTTCCCACCTGCGTGCCGGCACGCACGTCGATGTATGAAAGCAGCCTGTGTTGTAAAGTGCAGAACAAGCGCGATACACACGCGCTAAATAAGATGTCAGAAACGGATTAATTAAAGAAAAACGAAAAATAGGAAAACGGAAACATAAGACAAAAAGAAACTTTAAAAGAAAATGTTATTAAAAGGTCTACATTAACTCACACTCCAAACAGTGTTCCTCCTATGTGTGCAGCATGATCAAACAGGCGGAACCTTAATACAACGCAAACATTAGCAATAAGGAGGATTCGTTACGGTAAACATAAGATTACTTGAATAGAAGCCCAGCGATGTCAAAAAGTAAAATGCCTATAATGGCTGACTGCGCAGAAAAATCGAAACCAGGAACGAAAACAATTTTGAGCCTTGCTTCAGGTATTCTCATGCAAGTGTATCCAAGAAGAGCAAGAATGGCGCCACTCTAAAAAACGCCACTTGTTCAATGATTTCATTACAAAAAGAAGATCAACGGCGAAAAAACTAAAGTGAAAGGAGAAAAATTATAAGAATAAAGGTTTCCAATATGAAAAAGATCGAACAAAATACAATATGCAATTTTCAAGTCCACAATCAAATAGAAAAAACCTCACCGCTCCGAGAGCCCTTGTTGAAGATCTACTTATAGCTTTGTGTGTAAGACTGATTAAAGATGACACCACACCGCCAGTAACATATAAGGCCCAAAACTGAAAACATAATTGTCACGAATGTGATGAATCCACGAAGATAAAAGAAAGCGTTTAATACCTGATTTGGTCCAAGAAAATTGTTTACTGAAACGTTAGCGAAAGACCAGACCACGTACATATTTAGTCCAAGATGTACCAAACTCTGATGGGAAAACATGCTAAGAAGCATAGGTAGACAAAGACTCTCTAAAATCCAGTATGAAATCAGGAAAAAATTAGAACATCTCAAAGGACTTACTGGAAGCGAAGCTGTTACTAAAATAACGCCACATATATTTTTGTAAAGGTTTGACTCTCCATAGAGTAAAAATGGCGGCATTTGCTGAAAATAACAGGTGAACAAAGATATCTATCAAAACCGTACAAGTTACAGGCGGATTCAGCTTTGATACCTACGGTATTTGAGCACATGGCGTCGTGTTTGTGATCAGATCGAAGTAGGGAGCACGGGTTATAGGACTGTTGTCAACCCAATTTTCTCTCGCTGAGTCAGCCAAGATTCAGATGAAGAAGCAGTCTCGAAGCCGACAAAATCTGCAGGCCCATCCGTTGCTTCTGTCAACTTTTGCGAAGTCACGGCTTGACTAGAGTTTGGGTGAAAGAGGTTGGAGCCGTTGACGCATTTAATAAAAAAAAATGGGATGGATTTGCTTAGCTGTGTCTAGTACCAAGTTTGTACCTGACCTGAGAAAAGCAGCAGCTGACAGCTGAAGCTTGATCTTTTAAAAGTCATCTATGGTACTTTCAATATAATTTAGTTGGCGCTGTGCTCTTATTGACGACTTATGTAACATACTAAAGCGAAGCAGAAGTAGGAGTTGTCGATGCACTACAAGACTTTTGAAACTCCTGCATCAGTGGCGGAAACCGAAACTCCTCACTCTATCACTATCGAGGTCCAAAACCACCCGTGGTTTCACAATGGTGGGAACTATAATGACGTAAAAATGACGACAAGAATCCCAAATCCACTATCAAGCCCATTTCATCACTAATGAAGTTCAGGCAGTTCAAGGCGCTCCGGCGAGAAACGAACCTGTTCATGTCCCAACAATTGGAAAAGGTGCAAGAGCTTTCCAGCTCGACTGAAGTCAATCGTTGTTCAATCCCACTCAATTTGATCACTCGGACTATTTACAAGAGAACCTTTCCGTCAACAAAATCAGTTTTGATGACAATTTTGATACCATATCAATCCTAAGCGTAACTACGATTGCTTACAAAGTTGCACAGCTAAGCAAATGCATCCTTTTTTTTTNTTTTTTTTTATTGAATGCAGCCAATGGCTCCAACCTCTTTCACCTGTACTCTAATCAAGCTGCCACTTCGCAACCCAAAACTGGGCGTATCGGATTCGGGGCGGGGTCACGGCCGTGGTATCGTACCAACAGAGCTCCTACAGCGAATCCTTGCGAAAATTGGTAAAATGCCACGGACGGGCCTGTAGGTTTTCTTGGCTTCAGCAGTCTCTGCGTGTCGTGTCTGCCTGCGGGAAGTGGGGCGTGCCCGCTCGCTGTCTGGACTCTGACTTCAGGAATGAACATGTGAACGGGTACGAGCCGAGATAAAAAAGAGGATCATTTGAATTGATATTCGGAGATGGAGGAATGGGAAATGAGGGGTAATTGTGAAGAGTGGTTCACCACGAAACGTTAATGGCTGATAAGTTTATGCCCTGAAAGATGTGGTCCTATTTCCGCTGCAGTGTTTACAAAACAACTGCATAGAGTCCTGACATTGCTAAGGTAACTGTGGTATTGCAGGAAATCCAGGCTTTTCCAGTGTTCTCAACTTATTCTTTATGTTAGTAAACCCTGAGAACAACAGCATCATTCGAATGTCTGCAATCGTCTGAAATCATCAGTTTGTATTGTGGTTGTAAGCAGTGCTGAACGTGCATATCATCAGCTTTTCTTGACGTTCTGACGTGAGCCAGAAAACGCGGTCACCCTTTCTTCAAGGGAAGGACTTTCCTGCTTATTCTCTCGTGTTCTGCCCACAATAGGGTGTATTTTTAAGCATAAATCTTCGCAGCCACTAGACTACCTCAATCTTGTGGTTCAAAAGAGATGCACAATGTCTTCATGTTGAAAAAGGCGCCACCCAACTGTAAGCCATCACGCTTGGCAATACTTAGCGATCCTCACCTCATCTCTCACTAGCGGTTATGCGATATTGTCATTAGTGTTGTACCAGGGCGTTTACAGACTGAATCCTTCGGGACGTCAAACGTAAAGCAGGATGCCCGCCAGTGCAACGATCAGGCCTCTTCACGAAAGGTTTGAACGAAAGGAATGCTGCGCCTCGTGTCCCTCAAGCGAGGGCCGTTATGGCTCGCGACAGGGACGAATGGATGCTGCCCGTCGTATGAAGTCGATGATCGAAGGGGTGACAGGTAAGAGGTAATAGGTGATTTCTTCAAATTATATCAGTCATCAACACGGGGTCAACCCCTAAAAATTCTTCTTCGCATGCCATGTTATTCCGTGAGTAGCAACTTCTTCACTTTTAGAGCTGGGTCTGATTTCTTAAAAATTACCAAAGAGTGTACGGTGCCGGGTTCCATTGCAGGTTTCAAAATACTATTAGATAGAAATCTTTCTATCGCTAATTAGTTTTGTTTGTAGGTGTACCAGGTGTTCACTTTTGTCTCGCATGCATTCTTTAGTTCCCATTCTTCCTGGTGTTCTTGATTTGTTTACCTATGTTTCTTTTTAATAGGCTGAGTCATAAGTCCTCGAACAAATTGACAGTGATTATAATTATCTTAGTTTTCAAACGATAATTGCGAATCATTTTAAATATACCCCATTGGCATCGATGGTCCTCTGCCAATGCATGGGCAGATCGTAGATGCCTTTGCTCCAGAACGCTGAGGGCTGTCCTCTGAAGAACTGCTCGAGTGCATTTTGATGTCGTTGCGAGCTAAAAGTCTTGACCACCCAGATGACGTTAGAGATGGGAAGAAAGGTGGTTATCCGAGAAAGCCAAGTCTGGGAAATATGGTGAGAGTGGTAGAATTGTCCAGCCGAAATTCGTTAGTTCAGTTTAGGTCGTTCTTGCAATGTGCGGCCGAGCGTTGTCGTGTTGTAAGTGAACTTTGTGCTGCTGTGGACGTGTAGGTTCGATATTCGCATTCACATTCCTCAGTTGCTAATGTAGATGTTTGCGGACACTGTACATTTTTCGCCTAGCAGCTCCCAGTATTCGACACCGTGACCCACCAAATGCGAAGTTAACCATCATGGCGTGCCCGTTGGGTTTAGGGAAATTTTCTGCATCCTCACCTTTGTCGACCCATTGAGCACGTCGGTGAACGTTAGAGTAGAGGACCCTCTTCCCATCCCCGTTGACTAGTTGCTCGAGCCACGTGTGGGTGCGCTTGCCCATGGGGAAAGTGCAATGTCGGTCCATGTCATACAGCTTCAAAGCTTGCGGCACCCATCGAGCGAACTTTCGTACCTTGCCGACTGACTTCAATCCACGAATGATTGTGGACTGACTCCCCAAGAGTGATTGTCAGTTCATGAGCAATTTACGGATCGGTTTTCACCTGGCTCCGCAGCATGTCCAAACACAACTCCATTGAGCGCCCACAACGGTCTTCATCTTCGATGTAAAAGTCACCCGACGCGAACTTCGATTGCCACTTGTGAAATACGCTTCTAACAGCGGCGTCCTCCTTGGGAACTTCCTTCATACGTCTATCGATTGCCGCGAGTTCTTGGTCAGATTAGGAGAAATAGGATGGTGTTGCTTAGGTGGAGCTTGGAATCATGGGGCACGATTGCAGGAAAGGAAACGGTTAGGTGTGTTCGTTGATATGAATTTGGAAGAGCTTTTTATACTCTATCTGACGATGCCTCGCGCATCCATTTTCGTCGCTTCTTTCCCGAGTTATGATCTCTAAAAGTCGTCACTATCACATTGTCCGAGGACTTATGACTCAACCTAGCACTTCTAATAGATGTTTTGCTCTGTTACATGTGTGCTGCATGTAATAAAATTTGAATTTTAATTTTAATACAGGGCGATGCCTTACGACACAAAACATTCCATGAATAGGGTGTTCGAGTCCGCCACTACCTATTGAAAAGTAACGCAGAAAGCACGGCATGTTTGCATTACGCCGGAAATGTAATGGAAAACTATAAACTTGCCGAAGACTAAAATCATAGCGCATTTGTCGCCATCTGTCAACTCTTCCCACCATTGTTTTTGTTTATTGCCACCAAATCTGAAAACTTACGATTTGTTCACGACAAATTAGTTTCAAAAAAGCTGTTGGCGTCTTCCAACTCGATATGCGAATGTAATTCTACTGATTCAAAGCAGCACCAACCAAACGGCAAACATGAGACATTACATTATCCAAGATTCAGCTTCGCTTCCAAAATTCAATTCACTAGGTGAAAAGTGGTTATCTCATAAGAGTACAGAAGGGGGCCACAACTCACGTCGGGCATGGTGACGAAGGTGTTTTGTAAAACGTCTCATTTTAAGACCACCGAATTTTTCGAGGATACGACACTTTACTTATGCAACTGCTTACAAAAGCACGAGGAATGGTGGTGGAAGAAAAAGAGCAAACGGGAAGGCGGTCTGTCATCATCCTATCGTTAGTCAAGGCGCCCGCCTATCGTCTTCGCAAACACTACTTCCCTCCTCTCGTTTCAAGTGAATACATATCATCCCTCTATCCCGTACCCTACGACACAAGATTGACCTAGTCGTGTCGCCGACCTACCTCGATCAGCAGATGGAAAATAAGTCATTCTGCTCAGTTATGTACATACATGTCAGGGCCGTTCGTATTTGACCTATACGAGGACACCGAAGGGCGACCGATATACCCGCACGTCGAATTGAATTAAACCGGTCGGAGCGCCGCTCTTCCATGCTTCTTGTGTTAGAATTGACCCGCCGCCTGCATTCTCCCAAGTTTAAAAACTCTGGTTTAAGAGAACAGGAGGCACTGTTTTCCAGCAAAACACACATACACACACATACCGACATATTTTGTGCGCGCCCTGTCCGCCATGAGCGGAGCCCTGCTCAAATCCTGTGCTTTCAAATAACATGGTTCATTCCGCTCTCATTTTGATTTTACTGCGTGTTTTCACTCAAGCTACGCTCATTCCACGCCTGGTCCGTTCCCTCCGTACCCCTACGCCCCGCGAGCGGAATCCAGTTTCCTCACTTTCTGTTATCTACAATCGGTGTCTTAACCTTGCCACCTGTACTCGAGCCAAATTTGAACGCCCTACGTCCAAATTAGTATTTTCCGTCCCACCCTGTGAGGGGGGAGTCAGGTCGTGCCACCACACATCAGTATCCCCACCCTACCGCCTGTATACCTAATAAATTCGAATGCCCCATGTTCAAATTAACTATTTTCACTCACGCCCCGCCTTCTGTGAGCGTAGTCTAGTCCTACCACCTAGCACCAGTGTTCCAACAATGTCACCTGCAATCCTGCAAAATTTAAATGCCAAGTCTATGGGAACAGGAGTCGAGAGCGTTCACTTAAACATTTATTTCGCGTGAACCCCGCCCGCTGTGGGCGGAGTCTATTCCTGCCACCTATCATCAGTGCTCTCACAAGTCGTCTGTACTCGTGCAAAATACGAATGCTCTAGGTACACGAGAACAGGTGTTACGAATTTTCGCTCAAGCATCGTGCTACACATGAGGCGCTCGCGTCTGTCTGTCTATCTGTCTGACTGTGTGTCCGTCTGGCTGTNCTAAAGAAGCACTAGAAGAAGTCGAGTCAAGTGTGAGATGGGTTGGGCATAGAGCGAGACTAGAAAATCACATGTGAATTCAGCGGAGATCTGCCCACAGGGGTGGAGCACGCGCAGGAATAGGGTGTCTTGGACAAAACGTCTAATTCATGTTTCATAACAGCTCAGAAGCTGGGGAAAAATGAGCAAAGGTGAGGGACGGCTCAACAAATGAACTGAGGAAGACCAACTGAGCGGAGCCTTCTCGCAGTGGGCGGTACTTTCCTGATAAGTTTATAACTAGATTCAACGAAGGCGTGGAGGCCAGAAAAAAAAACAGAAGGAGTGAGCAAGGCCCTATGCAAGTTGAACATGCATAAAGTTCCGTCCACGGTGGGCGAGGCGTGCGTCCAGATGAAATCTACTTCTTAAAAGTATGTAGAATTCTGATCAAAAACGCCCCAAAAAGCTGAGAAAAAGTGGCCAAAGGTAATTGAAGAAGTGTGGTCACCCAGCCCCGAAGAGGGCGGGGTTTGGGCTTCGGTGGGCGGCGTCAAGGTCAAAATCCCACATCTCTGTTCAGAAACGTTCTAGAACGCGTGAAAAGTGGTTGGAGATAACAAGAGGAATGCAGTTCGCAGGGAAAAAAGTTGTAGGAGAAAAAAGAAGAAATGTGGTCTGGGTTTCAAGGTGAGTGGGGTTTGCGCTAATGAAGGTGGGCTAAGACCAAAAATACATAGCTCTGTTCAAAAAATTCTAGAATGCGGAGGAAATTATCATCACCAGCTAGAAGAAGGCGGTCAATTTTTCATAGTCGGAGGAGTTCGCTCTAAGGTGGACGGGGCTATGATCAACCACTGATAATGCAGCTCAAACGAAATATATCGAGCAGGATGTCTTCAAAGTGGTTCAGTGTTCAAAGAGACAACTATCTATTCTGATAATTCAACATTCTGCTGTCGTGGGCATACAACGCACGCGTTAGCGTGCACGGCTCGACTAGTTTATTATATTTGACACAAACCCCACTCCCTGTTGGCGTAGTCTAGTCCTACCACCTAAGTACAGTGTTCCCATCTACCGCCTGTACACCTAGCAAATTTGAATGCCCTATGCCCAAATTGCTAGTTTTCACGCACGCGGAGTCTAGACCTATCATAAGTGTTCCCTTGATGTAGCCCGTACTCCTGAAAATTTTATATTAGACGAATAATAGCGATGCAGTGATCTCACCCGGAGGAGAAACTCGCCATAGGCAGACCCGTTCTACTGTCGAATGTGAAACCACTGAAATGGAACGCGTCCCTACTACGTTTATAGTCGGCTAAGGCAGCAATAGAAAATGCAGCGGCCCCAACCTGCAACAGGGAAACTTGTCATCTATTCTATAGACTTAATTGCAGCAAAATCAGTAACACTCACACCAATTGTGAACCCAAGAGCTTTCAACAGATCCGACACTGGACGAACAGGAATTGCGTCAGCCGCATATGGAGGTTGGGATACTGCAAAATCAGCCACGTGCTTACGCCGAAAAAGCCACATTTACCAAATTTGTACAAAACTCTTATGAGTCAACTATTGGCGTACCTTTAGGCTTGGCGATCCGCTTGAGGGTCTGTTTGCGTAGCCGTTCTTGTAAGGATTCGCGTGAAAAACGGTTGTAGCAAACGAAAGACTTGCGAAAGCCACGTAGTTGGTTATTGAATAAAATATACTTCGAGAGCAACATATCTACAGCATTACATGATTACTTAACAATAAAACAAACATACTTGAATTCTTAAAGGATAAAGGATAAAGTTTTTGGCGTTAATCAATCCCGTCTGAGGGATGCGCCCCCGCACTCGACTTCCATTCAGAATCGTAGTGGCGTAATGAGTGCGTATGTGGCCTATACAATGACTTGCGGTGGCCAGCCGATGTACAAGTCAGTGCTTTTATACTCCCAGACGAGTCTGGTACCAATTCACCGACCCCGGAGGGATGGAAGGCTTGGTTGGCCTAGGCGGGCATCGATCCGGGATTCGAACCCCTGACCGTGCGTGTGATATAGTGCGCCACTTGCCACTACACCACCTCCGCCCATACTCAAATTCTTATGCGACCGAAATTCAAACTAGACCACATGCTACGGAGTCTGACAATCCGTTGAAAGTGGAAACACCCGCTAGCAAGGCTCTATATAACAGCTCAGAGACACGAAGAAAGTAGCTGCAACGACTCATTAAATAAGGCTCGAGAAAAAGGGAAGGCTCCCAGGGCTATAACGGGAAAGTCCGAGAACTAAAACTGAGTGTTCAACAAGGTTGATCTCTGGGTAATCGTAAAGAAGCATAATTCGAAAACCCCGATCAAGTTTCCTGAAGGGTGGGAGAAAGAGGCCGCTAAATCAGCAAATATCCGGAAAACGAGGAAGAATTCAACGAAAAAGCTCTTGCAAATGTTTCCTTCTATCGTCAGCAGTTGGTCGTATAAGAACTGCTGTTGAAACTATACAAGAAAGAGTCGACTAAATAGAGAACCACTATGCCAATGCAAAAAAGACTGACCAAAAAGAACTCATTATAGAAATTCAGGAAATTGAAAAAGAATATCAAAGTCCGCAACATTTGATGAGTCTAGAAGCTTCCATTCATATACTGGAAGCTCAGTTAACCGAGGCTAAAGTAAATTTAGCAAAAGCTCAAAGGAAGCTTAAATTACCTTCAGCTAATAAGGATAGTGAAGGGTCATCAAACCTCAGTAGTCACAGTTTTTGTTGCCTCAATAAAGCCCTAACTTAATCGGCCATCAACTTGTCTATCATCACCTCACCTCACCTGTATCACCTGTCGTCCCGTTGATCATCGATTTCCTCGAGCGGGCGCGAGTAACGTCTCCATTCGTCCCTGTCACGAGCCAGAGTGGTCCAGTGAATCGTCCTCGCTTCAGGAACACCAGGTTCAACATTCCTTTCGTTCAGAGCTTTCGTGGCGAAGTCTGACCATCTCGTTGGCGGCTTTCCTGGAGTTCGTTCGACGTCCCGAGAGATCCAGTCAGTAACCGCCCTGGTCCAACGGTTATCACTATATCGCATAAGGTGTCAGGCCCACCTGATCTTCGAATTCTTCGCATAATCAACGGCATCCCCGATCTTCGTTCTTTGACAAAGCTCGGAACTCCGGATTCCCTTTCTCGGAACTTTTGGTATCATCATAGACGAGATAATGGCCAATCACTAATTTGACGGTGAGTACTATGGTTAACGCTCATCGATCAGACCACAGGGCATCAATTGGGAAATCTACTGCTGTACACAAGGCATCGGTAAACTAACATATTTTTTCAATTACATAAGAGAAAAAGGAAATTCAGTTTAAAAGTGATGAAACCACTGCTAGGCGGTGGATTCAGACGCCAGCGCAAGAATGGGAGAAGTCAAGGATAGCCTACATGGCATATAGCCAACAAAAGAACAACACGGTTGAAAAAAAAGAGGACACCAAGCATAATGAGTTCTCAAATTGCGCATTTCAATTTTGAAATTTTTCAGCGCTAAACTCAGGTCACAGAGTTGTTGCCAACTAGAATTTCTCTCGCTGAGAGACTCAGACGGCGAGGTTGTCCACATTGTCCCTCTTTCTCTGTCCCTCTTCTCTCTCTCTGTCCCTCTTGAACATGTTCATTTTACCGATAACATACTCCTAAGGTCGTTGGAGTTGGAAGGATTCGTTGCTCTAGAATTAGCAGGGTAATGAGAAAAGAGTTTTCTGTTGAAATACTGGTAATTTCCTGAACTTGATTCGTTTTCATTTTGGAAAAAGCACGAGCACTGGCACACTCTCGTTGCTCACCGTTTTTCGATTTGTCTTGGTTTTCCTCAATTTTATAAGCACGGATTCAATACCTACTCCGGAGCATGTTGCATTTGAAGTCATATTTGAATACAAGTTGGATATGCGCTCAGATTGGTTATTCGTTGCTTTTATCGGCAATTCTGGTACCGGCAACTTCTCTTTTCAGGTCTTTTGTTCCGATGAGATATGCATGGCGGTTACGTACGCTCGCAAAAAATTCGAATCGCTGGTTTTCATTGGCTCACAAGGTTGGTTATGACTTGTGTGAACTATAATATTCTTTATCCGTTCCCAAACATTCCAGGAAGAAAAAAGCCTATTGAAAGCTCGTCCATTAGATATCCGGAACATCGGTATCGTTGCCCATATTGATGCTGGTAAAACCACGTTGACTGAACGGATGCTTTATTTGGCTGGAGTCATCCGCCATATGGGTGACGTTGATTCAGGCAATACTGTTACGGACTTCATGGACTTGGAACGAGAAAGAGGTCTGAGTTTTCTGATCGGTCTAGCAACCCTTAGCTAATTCGGTTGTTTTCTCGCTGGTTGATATTTTATGAATTATGATATTTTCGGTATTTATTTATTTATTTATTCCAATTTCATTCACTAGTTCGTACGTTCAAAGGTAAGCCTAAATTAGAAGGCAGAATTCTTCATCATAAAATTGAAAATGACTGAAAGAGTAAGAATATTTACGGCGTTGCTGTATGAATGCTCAGAACACCTTAACGCAGTATCAACGCCTTCAAGACCGTGAATTCCCAAACGAAAGCTTTTTAGGTATCACCATACAACTCGCTGCTATCACATTTGGTTGGAAGAAACATAAAATCAATCTTATTGACACACCCGGTCACGTTGATTTCACAGGTAACAATACCAGCAATTTTGTGGTGTTTATTGGTAATCTTTACGTCGTTATCCGTACGAACAGTACTGTAGTTTAAGCCGGGGATGAAGTAGCCTTCACAGACGGAGGGGTTAATAATAATCGATCCTCCTTGCCAAAACTACGCTTAAGCACTTGGTTGAACTTCTATAACATTCAGGATGATAGTGGCGGTATATTGAGTCGGTTATAAATGTTGTCAGAAAACACTGGTTACTTCATCTCCAATTATACAGATGTATAAATCTAATCACTTCGATTGTTCCGTTTCATGGTAGTGGAAGTCGAAAGATGTGCAAGAGTCCTTGACGGGATTGTCACAGTTCTGGATGCTTCATCTGGAGTCCAGGTAGAATTCATTGCTATAATCTGCTCTAGTTTAAATATTTTATTTTTCAGTGCAACTTTTTCACGCGAAAAACACTTCCAAGTTCAGTCCTTTTTTTCAAATTGTCGTAACTTTTTGGCTTTGAGAATTCGATCAGTTTTCAAAGATATCCCATTCCCACAACATCGAAGCTTTTTTAGTAATTGTGATAATGTTTTTGGAAGATTCTTGAGTCAAGAATTATGCGTTCTTCATGAGACTTAGTTTCTTGAAACAAGTCATTCAGGCGCAGACATTGACAGTATGGCGCCAAGCTGCAAAATTTCGTCTTCCCTCTGTGTTTTTTGTTAATAAACTGGACAAGAAAGAGGCGGATTTTCGAAGTTCTGTTGATTCGGTTGAGCAAAAGTTGGGAGTCAAAGGTGAGGAACTGTTATATCTTCGAATGTTTTCCATCAAAGAGTAATATGTGAGTTCTTTGATTGATTTTTGATCGCATTGTTTCTCGAGTTGGACCCCACATATCATTTGAATTGCTCTGGCAGTATGTTTGGCGTGTGCCATGAAGTTGTGAGGGAATGGGATGCACAACTAATGCACATAACGGTTCCACTTATAATTGCCCTGTTATATGTGCATTTTTATCTCACTTCAGCATTTGATCATCTTGTTTAGCCTTAAACACGGCTTCTCCATTTTATAACAATGGCAAGTTAGACGGAATTGTTGATACCATAAGCAAGAAATTCGTTCCCGTCACTCCCGATGGTTCTTGGCAGAATGTTGAGGTATGGAAAGATTGATTACCATCTTGGAAGTATCTATCTTATTGTGTTTAGCCAGACACTCATGCTGAAGAAGTCCTCAGAGCATCTCGAGAGAATCTTTGCTGTGAGCTATCGGAGTTGGACACGGAGTTTATGACATTTTTTTTGGAAAACTGTGGCGGCGACTCTATGAAGGTGTCTCCAGTGGATATCATTAAAGGTTTGTTCATTTGTGATATGTTTGGTGAACTAAGTTTCTATGTATTTGTTCTAACAGATTGGATTTCCTTCTTCTCATCTTTCGTTCTCTTTGACACAAATTATGGCAAAATCCTCAGGCAGCGGAAAGATGTCCAAACTGGCATTTGAATTCAAGTTGCGGTTTTTCTGTTTCTTTCAATGCCACAATAAATACACAATAACAGGAGTAAGTAAAGATGTAGAATAGTCTGCACAACTAGAAGCAAACATAACCACATGAGAAGGTAGTGCGTGTATCATGAGCCCTGCAGTTCTCTGAGCTGCTGAACTTTTTAACCTTTTGGTGTGTCGTGTAAAAATAATTACATGACGTTCAGCTATGCGGCGAATCACACTTGCACATCGTGGAGCGGCGATTGGCTGTGGAAGTGCTCTGCGATGTCCCGCTAGCGTTCGGCCGGTATTGGATCAGGTTGTCAACTTCCTGCCTTCACCTAAGGAGAGAAATACCTCCCTTACAAGTCTATTTGGTCAAGAACTTTGCGGCTTTGTTTTTAAGGTACTTTTCCTTTTCTTTTTGATTCCTTTCCATCATGCATTTCTAGAATTCATTTTCGTATAAATTCAGATTGGGCATGATAGGCGAAAAGGCAAGCTTAGCTTTGTTAGGGTCTACGCCGGAACTTTAACAAGCAGTTCAACAGTGTTTAATTCCACTCGCGGGACGACTGATGGTCCGATAAAGGTTGGTGATTAATTTTGAGATATTCATAAAAGGTGAAGGAGTATTTGTTATGGAAAGATTATGCTTTCTAGTATATCCATTCCAGGAGTTGAAAGTATAGAGTGAAAGGATCGAATTAAGCTCCGGAATTTGAAAGAGGGGTAGAACCCATCGTGCGAAAAGGTTTTCTCGGCGCTAGTACAAAACGCTCTCGCAGATATATGATGTTACTGAATCGCATAGCTTCTTTCGATCGACCTCTCTCCCTTTAACAGCTAAGCCTTTCCTAGAAGATAATTGACACTCGTGGCTTTAATGTTCCGAAGCCCAGTAGACATGCATGTTATAACGTTAGCATGTTATTGTTCTTATTGCAGCTATTCATTGCTCACAGCAGTGAGCTGATTCCGGTAACTAGTGTCGGTGAAGGAAATATCGCTGTTGTAAGTGGTTTGTTTTCCGCGGTGACAGGTGACACATTATTGTCGAGGTAAGAAGGTTTGAAGATTTCGAGAAGAACATTATTGTGTTGTGTAAGCTGTATAAGCGATGGTAATTTNTTGCAGCGAGTCGGTTAGCCATCAACTTGCGCATGCTAGACACAAAGTGTGTCATGAAGAAAAAGCTGCTAAGCATGATAGCCATCGAAAGCTAGCGCATGACGTCTCTCTCCATTCGGCTGCAAATGAGGATCAGCTTGAGATGGAAGTTATAGGCGATGGCGAAAACGTCATGCTGAAAGGTGTTTTGAAATTTTCGAAGCAAATTCTTGCAACGCAAAAGCAGTATATTTAATTAAGGGATTGATTCACCAGACCCAGTTTACTTTTGCTGTATTGAGCCTCCGTCTTCAAAATCTAATCGTGAGTTTGAAGTCGCCCTGAGTGAGTTAGCTGTTGAGGTTGGTTTTGCTGTTTGAAATTGTCACCGGTGTGTATAAGAATTTGTTATTAATCCTCAGGATCCTTCATTACGAATTCGCCATGAAGTGGAAACGGGTCAGACCGTCGTGGAGACCATGGGCGAACTACACTTGGACATTATTAAAAGTCGCCTTAATCGAGATTACGGTCTTAATGTATTTGTTGGCCCTCTGCAGGTTTGTCGCTTGCTTTTAAAAGTTCAAGCTCTTCAGAGATATAACAGAGAAAGAGTTCAATCACTAGGTATTCTACTTTGTGTTTTACAACGAAAATGTTCAGATAGCATATCGAGAAATCGTGGACGTGCCCATAACACATACAGCTACTGCGCAAGCTGTGATGGAGGAGAAGAAAAGAGTTCATTCTGCGACACTCACTCTTACAATAGAGCCTAAAAAGCAAACTGGAAAATTCAAAGGGGTTTGTTTTGAGTTCCTCTCGAAAACTTGGTCCTTATCTTTATGAATTTGGTTTGGGCTTCTTTCATAGCCGGTGAAGTACTTCATTCGAGTTGAACAACCTTTTTCCAAACCTCCATTACAGGCTAACAGTTGTTCTGACAATTTTTTTTAGTTTCGGCGTAATTAATTTGAATAACAGACTGGTTATTTCCGGTTGCAGTTAAAATTTCCTTTCGTCTGGTTGGATCTTAAAATAGTAGGTCACGACGTACCCATTGTAACGTAGTAATTTTGTCATTTGCTTTGCAATGATATCATCCTAGCCCAATTTTAGGGCACAGAAGCCAGCTCCTATGTATTGTTGTGCCCTGTTCCAGGTTCTGCTCGGGCTCCCTCCTGATTCATCGACGGTACGTGCTGATTGGCTGAAAGCCATCAATGAAGGTTGCCGGAACGCCCTTCATAATGGCCCAATACTTGGATTCCCTATGCAAGATGTTGGGATTACTTTGAATTCAGTCACTACTAGTGGAGGACGCGTCAATCCTGCTGTCTGTAAGTAAAATTATTTCTATTTTTTCTTCTTCTTTTTTCAGATCTTTCTTTTTTCTTGTTTTACGTGGAGTGCTTGTGTAGTTTCCTCACGAACGCCAAAACTCCCTTCTTTTAAGTGTCTGCTTGTGCGCATAAATGTGTATCGGAAGCAATCGAGAAAGCCAGCGCTCATTTGATCGAACCAGTCATGAGGCTTGACATCACGTTGGAGAAAGGTGGAGAAGCCCAAAGCATCCTTCATGAGTTGTCGAGGCGGCGAGCTGATGTTCTTGATTGTTCCAAAACTCATTGTGAGTGTTACCAACTTTTATTTATTCTGTATGAAGCAATCCCTATCCTTTTTTTCACTTTGTCTTGAAATTTCTTCAAATGAGACAAGTTCAAACTAAACTCGGACCAAACATGGTTGAACGTACGCATCTTGTATAGTACCGCCATGGAGACATTAGCTACAGCATCCGATTTCATTGCTGTTCTCTTCTTCCACCCTATAACTTCCTTTCTATCTCATGGGTCTGCAAAAATTATTGGATGTGAAATACCCAAAGAATGGAAGGATTCAGCCTTTGGGGCTTGTTTACAGCCGTATGATCGCAGAGCTCTTATTTGGACTCCTTCCAGTGGAGATTGAGCTGGTGAAAGGTGAAAATGCTAATGGAGCACCTATATAAGCTCTTCGATAGAACCCCAATCCCTTCAAACCTGGGAATTGATTCTGTAACATTTACTAACGTCCGTTTTACCCGTTGTGTTATCTTCTTGAGCAAAATGTGTCCAAGACTTTTCTTCGAACTATTTTAGTGGGCACAACTTCGATATGCGCTCGTCTTCCTCTTTCGGAAATGGCTGGATTCCCTACTACTCTACGAACTCTTTCGTCGGGATTGGCTTCTATGCATACACAAGTGGCTGGTTACCAGGTTGTCTCTGATCACGATCAAGCTGCCATTGTTAATAAAATCAAAGGTGTTAAATAGACTCTACAGGCTGTAACCTGTAAAGGTATGAGGTAAAAACGAGTGTAGAATTTTATAGAGTAGGTGTAGACTTAGAGACATCGTTCTCATATTGAGGTTGAAGAACTGCCTAAGTTTATCAGAAGTAGTTTTTTTGGGTAATCGCATGAGGTTAACGTTCTTTTTTGACTGGACTTGCTTTTGTAAAATTTTGAGATTCCTTGCTCTTATTGACGCTCTTTCCTACGTAAATATCCATGTATGTTTGTACGGCTTTGTTTGTTGATTTAAATAGGTCACCTTTGTAATTATATAAATGTTTTAATGTTGTTATGTTACGCATTTTGCTATAGTTGTTTGACAGAATTGTTTTTATTTCTTTACCCAATAAACAGTGCTTCTTCAGTCTTCTGACGATACCTGATCAGCTAAGTTGTGGTTGGGGCCTGCATATTTCATAGTCCTCCTTAAGAGTACCGCTACCGTACATATCTGAGAATAGGATTAATTTCAAGTAGGTTTGGTCGTGAATACTATTTTTCAGTAACACGAGCAGATGGATCGTTCACGGTGAAAGGTGTTTAAGATATCCGTTGATAGCACTTTAGCAAGATGTTGGACGAACTGGCATTTCTCATCAAAGGATATGATGGTATCACCGATCGTCGAAACAAAGTCATTTGGTTATGTCGCATGTTTGAAGTATGTAAAGAGCGGCCGGTTCGATATCAAGGAAAAAAGGTATTTGAGTTTGGAATGCTATTACAGGCTCCTAACAGTAGCAGTGTACATGTGGGAATTTGCCCAATGCATTCACATGATTGCCATGTTGTTAAAAGCCATGGATTTGTGATGCTAGAAATACAAGCACTTCCGGTGTTGTCTGGCTAGTGGGTATTTTCCTTGCGTGACTATGGCGGGAAAAAAACCCAGAAAAATCTGGAAAGTCGTTGATATAGTTTCTCATTTTCTCAGGGGATGTACGAATAAGGCAGTGTATTTGGAAGGGCTTCCATCTGTTGATCTCTTTCGTATCACCCGTTTTCTATTGTTAGGAATTTTAATGTGTCTGAGCCCCTGCTTCCATTCCTCCATTCGTCATTTTACTCGACTTTTCTCTATAAATAGTCGAGAACTTTCGCCGTCATCTAGCTTACAGCTTCATCTCACGATCCCTTTTATTGTATAGTTCTCACTTAGATCGATCACTCACCGTGCCCTAAAATAACACAGTTTAGGTGAGCGCTCAGTTTCTTCACGCTAATTTTATCATTCGACTATCTCATTTCAATATGGAGGACCTTATAGAGGACGTAAATAAAGTTCTTGGTAAGTAGAGACCACTTTCCGAGCCATTATACGTTGAATAACTAGATTCAGGTTCTCTAAGAGAGTTCGATGAGCAGTTGTACTACTTCGTGTTAGTAGCCACATATCGACTTTCAGACCAGTGCCTTATTGAAAGCCTTCAGAATTTTTCGTCACAAAAGTGGAAGGTTTGTGTAATCAGGCAATAGGTTTCCATTCAAGTTGCATTGGGCAGTTGCTGCTAATTCTTTTTGGTTCGATATGTTTTGTTTTATGAAAACATGAAAAGATCTAATCCTAGCTCGAGTAGGAATCTTCAATTTATCCAGAGGGATCCGATTAAACTCAGACAAGCCCGACGGGTGAGGACCTGCATGCCTTAGCAAGAAATCGTTCCGGCGGCGATGGATTCTGTATAGACCGCTTTCAGATTCTTTTGCCATTATAAAGCCTTTAGAAAAAGCCTTCTCAGGATTCATGGCATCACAGAAGTGTCTCGCATATAAAGAATATTGTAGGCTTCCTTCGATTTTGGCGATTCCTGTCGAAATATCACTCCGGAATTCGGTACGATTCCGCGTTTGCCATGGGACATCACTCCTGCTCTCGATGCAACTATTGCTGTCCCAGACATTACCAAGGAAGGCACGGTTCATGATCGTTCACCGCTGTTGGAGGCCCACGTGCTATAATGAGTTTTTAGATCCTATTGAACCAAGCGAAATTTGTCCGCTTGACTCACATGGAATGATCAGCAAGCAGTATGCAGAGCTTCTCGCTTCCGACATTTTACGTCTCGCAGAGGCTGAAAGCCGTCGTGGTGAGTCTTCAATATCTGTACCTGCCTAAGGGACAAATTATCGTCAGTTTTTCAGGAGTTTCCTTTCGGATTCTGGTTTTTGATCGTGGTCCGGCTATGTTGGCTATTCGCGATTTATTCAGTGGAATAAGTTCCGATCTGTTCCAGGAAAGGGTGAGCTGTTCTCTTTTGGTTCAGATAGATCAGCATTTTAATAGAGCGCCGACCAGGTGGTAATGGGCGTGGGAAGGGTTGAGAAGAGGTTATTTCCAAACATTTTCGGGAAAGCAAGAAGTATTCCATAGTCAATCGGTAACATACCGGAAAAGAATTACTACTTTGAAAGGAGTTTTGAATGCAATCTTAGGTATTTCGAAGAGGTTGGTTTGCGGTGCACGAATGTGGAAAAAACTGTGAAAAGGTTTCCCAAAGAAGGTAATGATCGCTCAAATCGTTTGCTTCGTTTACTTGCGTTTGCTTGCTCAATGCTTGATGATAATATCAGCTGAAATGAGCCACTCCCTGCCACGATAGTTGGCGACGCCAAAGGCTGGGGTGTTGCTTCCACTCTTGAGCATAGAAGTTTTTACAAAATTTTCTTATCGTTATCCGAGGAGGGGCCTTGTTTTGGCTGTTATTCACTTCCGTCACATTTATTGAGGACAGAGCGTTGTTGCTAGTGGGCTCTATGAATCTTCTAAACTTTATTGCTAGGTCTCGGTTCGACGTTTTTCGAAAAGTTAGAAGCCTTACTGTAGTCAGTAGGATATAAGAACTCTCATATCCCATGCTCTACTCCTACTTAAATCACGCTCTGCTTCTTGAAGTGGTAGAACAGGATGTCTTATATTCCAACTGGACTCTTGAAGGGGTCGATTGCGATGACACGCTGCATTTAGGCCTATTTGCAACTCCTTCACATATGATAATTAGTGTATTTATCAGGATGGTGTGTTTTGTTTGACCGAATATTTTAAAATCGAGACATGGACCATAATTCTCGCGAGAGCACTGTTGGGTTACTTGGTAGATCTGGCCAATAGGTGGGTATGTTGAATGGATTATGAATCAGTTTACCCACATGTATGGACTACTTCAGAATCAAATCTCTGCAGCTTTCTATTGCCCATGCGAGGGAAGATCCAACCGAGGATGACAAACTTTATGAAGTCATAACTACGGCTGTAGAAGACGTCAGGTATATGTTGAGGTTGGTCCATTTTGAGAATCAGTACCACACGCGTGACTTCACTCTCACCGTCCAGCCATCTCTAGTTGAGTAGAGTTCGTTATTTAATTGTCGGCCATCTATCTGGCCTGTAAGTGGAAGTTCTAGCCGTGGTTTTGATATAATGGAATGAAATTTGCTAAGCAAACAAAAGAAACCCAATCTATCAACGTTTCTTTTAGCGTGTACCGTACCACCCAAGTACTCTTTTTCTGAACCCATGAACGTGGGAACACTTTTAGGACTCACATAACCGAGATCCTCACCAATTCCGACCAATATCTCTTGGATGATGTCATAAACGTTATTGAAGCTCATACGGAATTTCTCGGCGTGTGCCTCCATATTCTCGAAACCAAGTCGATTGAGGTATGTAAACTAACGGCAGGAATCTAGACTGAATTGCTAAGTTGGAAACTTCTGAGCCCAAATTTTGAACTGTAACCGTTCCAGTGTTCATAAGCAACAGTAGCCCAAGCGAGTTCGTCAATACTGAGAGCTATATGCTCTATTGCTCTCAGCATTGACGTCTCTATAGCTATAATAGTATACTGTTTTTCATACAATTTTAACTCTATCAATCAATGAGCGATCTCACAACTACGAGGAAGAGCCTCCGCTAGGCTTTGACGTGTGTGTCACCCTCTTGAACCAACTGAGTCTTCCATTTCTGGGGTTCGGCTAGTCTGCACCACTTCAATCTTGCTTGGCAGAGTCGCTACACTTATTGTTGCTTCTGCATGTTCTGTCTCATGGAATATTCATCCAATTATCAATGAGGAAATCGAATGCAAAATCGAACGGAAATCGAATGCATGGCCTAGCAAGGCATGCATGGGTCGTGCTTCAACCGTGTTTGATGTGGCTACTTCATTTCCCAACAACAAATATCCTAGGGTAAATGTTTTCTAAAAGCTTCAAACGGTAATGCAGTCATGCTGCATCAGTGTTCGATGACCTGACCGGCTTCACGGGTAACAGAACTTCTCCCCAAATTCCCACTTCAGGCGGCAAAGGTCACGCGACGGCTATCCTATCCTTCCACTGAAGATTCAACTCCCTTTGTAGCGCGAATGCGTGCGATCGGGGACGGCGAGTGCGACGTCGTTTTCGGGGGGAAGATACCAGACCCCCGGCTTCACCCATTTCACAAATACTTTCTAAAAGAGTCACCTTGTCCTTTCTTTTAAAGTTCTGGAGTGCCTTTTAGCTGAGAGCATGGAGTTTTGATAGAACATATGAAAAAAATCAAAATTTTCACACACTAATTTCGACCGTTACCCTGAAAAGTGTGCAGCGTAATTAGCTTCCTTGAAGTATTACTGAGACGCTTGGATGCACATCTCCTTTGAATATGCGGCTTGCTGTATCCAACAGGTTGCCATGTCAGCATTTCATGCTATTAGAAGGAGGTTACGACAGAAACAGGCTCTGTCGAAATGGAAAGCGTAAATGTATAATTTGACCCTGAATGCCTGATGAAGAGTGTGCTGCTCTTTTTCTGATCTTTTAGCAACATACCGTCATTTGAACTGAAAAACTGAATGAAAAATCAATTTTGTGAAAGCATGAGCAAAATACAGGGATTGCTAGAAGGAGCGTTTCGAGAGAACCTTCTTTCTGAGACAAATTCTGGAAGATGTTTTTTGTTCAGATTACGCCACTTATACACACTGTTCGATGTATTCGTGATTCCACACTTTGTCCATTTGCTCAGAAATCCTACGAGGTTGTTTTGAAAGGATTAATACGCCTTACAGCTATGTAAGCCCTTGATTTCTTCCTAATCGGCAAACTCAGAGCCATTCAAGTGAGTGATGTTCTATTTGCTTTAGGACTGTATGCATTTTTGTGAATACTGGGCGCTGTGATTTTGCTGATCGAGTTTTTGTTGAAGCTCAGTCCACTAAGATGTCACCTGATAGAATTGGTTACGGTAGGGGTATTGCTCGTTATCCCGAGACAGTTTGGTGGACACCCATAGCTTCATTTCAGGCGAAATTTGGGAGTCGAATTTCAGCGTCGGCTTCCCTTCCTCACCAGATCTTAATCCACGTTTATGCCGTGAAGTGGTAAAGCAGGGTGTGTTGGTTCGCCTACTCAGAACTGACATTGCTACAGTATCCGGAGAGTATGTGGATCTGTTGAAGCTTTACAACATTGAGGATTCGCAGGTCATATCTATTATATCTAGCGCCAAATCCTCGCCGTGTCACTAGTATACTTCATAATTTAGATGGTGGTTGATTTGTATGATGAACAAAAGAAGGTATCAAGTCACGTCGAGGAAGTGCTCAAAGAGACGATTACTGTTCCAACCTTGGAAAATCTGATCGAATGGATCGTTGGGTAAGGGTTTCCAATGTCTGTTCATCTTCTCAATCTTAATGTTATGACGCAGCATCTCGTAGAACCCCGGATCGATTTCCGCCTAGGCCAACCAAGCCTTCCAACTCTCCGAGATCGGGTAATAGGTACCAGGCTCGTCTGGAAGGATAAAAGCACTGATTTGTACATCGGCTGGCCACCGCATCATTTTAGAGGCCACATACGCACTCATTATGCCACTACGATTCTGAATGGAAGTCGAATGCAGGGCGATCCTTCAGACGGGATTGATTAACGCCCCAAGACTTCATCCTTCGATCCCGTAGGAACAGCTCGTGGGAAATGGCTTCACCGGCGACCCACATAAATTTGTAACTTGTTCATATCCATGGTAATAACCCATGATTCCACCCTAGATGAAGCAATGGCAAAGGTCATGACACTAGAAGTGGTGACCATTTGTCATGGGCGCTCCGCTCAGTTAATTTGAGTAATTTCTGAATGTCCCCAAAACTGTTGTATTGCGATATGTAAAGGTGAGGATTCGATTCAATACTGCAAAAAGCTATTTATTAAGACCCTATACTATTTTGGGTAGAAATTTTTTTTGCCAGTTAGATTATTGAATAACTTCTATAAAAAGTGTTCAGCTCTTCGAATATGTTCCAAGTATGCTGTCTTGTCGCCTCTGCCATTCTTAAAGACGTTCGCAGCATGTGTGATGTCATCAGGCATTTGCTTCTTTGCGCTGGTGATGGAGAGTTTAATACAGAGTGAGTAACTCCAAAAGTTCGAAATAACTAGCTTTTCCTTCCTCATCATTATTTCCAACTTTGGAGCCCGATTGATTGCTCGGTCGGGATAAATGCAAACTAATGTCTAGTCCTCATTTAAGGTGTTGAGAGAACCCTGCTTTAGACGCCCTTCAGGACGTTTTTGCTGCATGAGGCGGAAGTGGATATCACAGACTGCGCACAGCTGCCCATCGTAGCATTTTCGTTTGCGTGACCGCGAAGGTTGCTTCATTTTCTGTGCTCGCAGGCCAGCACTCCGCACCGTAAGCCCTACGATGTCCTCCTATGTCTCTGGTTTGAGGTATTCTGGGGCTTTTTATCGCAATTTATGAATGTGAACTGAGCGACACCACGGTGGAGTACGTCCAGCAAGGTAGGACATAGGGTGATGGGAACCTCATGTAATCCGCATACACTTTATATCATTTGAGAAGAAATACCTCCAGAGAAGTGTAGATGAACGCTCACCTTTGTCGTATAAGAAGATCAGTGAGCTCAAGGCTCAAACTCATATATTTTTTTCAGTGAATACAAGCTAGCTCACTTTTATAAATTGCGATCTGAACTAGAAGCTCAACGATTCGATCGGCGGCATATTTCAGCCATCAAATTCGATAGAGGTCAGTGTTGCCCTACTTTTCAGGGAAACGTGAAAAAAGATTCCCAAAATTCCGGGAAAGTAGTAACAAGTTTATTGGAACGAATGTGAAAGCCTGGCCTTAACTGGCAAGCTTTGTTAGGCACTTGACTTTCAGTCAGAACAGTGGATGGTTTGAATGCGTAGTTGGGCCTATAGAGCATTTCGAGGATGACACGGTAATGGAACTAATAGTTCGTGCTGCTCCTCGATGAAGTCTTTATGATATACCAAATAGAATCTTATCCAAGGTTGAGCCAGTAGGTAGGATCTTCACCTTTTGGTCTTTTGTCCTGTTTTTCTGAAACTTCTAGAAATTGGTGAGAAGCGGTTCGGAAATGTAGTATGTAGCTCAGTCAGCGGGAGGTCTGAACCGATTCTCTGTATTACGACGGAGCCTCTTTGAGACGAGGAACGTTGGGATCTAAAGTTGGCTTGACCAAGTATTCCTCTCGTGACGCTTCTTGGCGGGTATTGCTCGGCTTAGCCTAGGTGGTAGTTAGAGTGGAAAATCGTCGGTAGTTATCGTTGACCATAAAAACGGCGCAGCACTTGAGAAGCCATTTTTCTATTGCTCTGGAGATCGAATGGAGTGATAGTAATTATATTTTGGTTTACTTCCCTAATAGTTTTGTTTTGTTTTAGAGTATGGAACTACACGCCTATTGATAACCCCTCCAGAACCGTTATCAATTATAATTACACCTGGTCATGCACGTCGCTACATCCGAATCTATACATTCTTAGCTGACCTCACAAGGGCAGTGTCGGCACTGGAGAAGGTGGTCCTCCACTTAAAGATCATTGAGTCTTGTTCCTGGCCTCTTTTAGAAAATGCGGTCATTTTTGTTCATCATGATGAAGTTTTTTAGGTGGATCTTCGTGAGCCTCGAATAAGTGTGGACAATAGTCGATTGTTATTCTATTACTGTTCGTCCATGCTACGACTAGTTGCTGGTACCCGTGATCATGTGCTGACTGAAGTTGACGCTGTTTGGCAACTCTTCAGGGTTCGTCTGCT